GTTGTGGTTGGGGGATGGATAACCGAGGGATGGGGCATGAATATGAGCTTGTAGCAATATGTAATGAGGCGTCTTGACTTTGATTTCCAACACTGACGTGAGTAAATGAATTGTTATTCCAAAGTAAGCCTCTGAAAATACCTACTACTACAAAATGCAAATGTATATCGACCAACACCCAGGGTCTTGAAACGGATTCCAAGGGCAAACATATACTGCACATTATGTAATTAACAGACTGCGAGTATTGGAGACGAATGCCATTTTTGCTTTTTATGATTTGAGCAAAAAAATATATCCATAAATATTATAAATCAGATGCATATCAAGGAAAAAACTAATCAGGAGAGGCAATAACACCTAGTTAGTATTGTTTCCGGGATGCAATAGGAACTAGGTGATACTGCAGGGGGTACAATAATAAGAACTGGTACACTACTAGCTATAGCTGTGTGCCCATTTCCAGCCAAGTTTTACATTGGTCGCCCCTAATTATATAATTAATCCCAGCGTGTTTGTTTCGCCACTGCTCAGCCATTTATTGTGTCATAAACCACTGTATTTAATAGACACAGAGTTCATACCACTTACTTACATACGCACACGGGCAATTCCACGTAATTTTGAATACCCCAATTCACATGCAAAACAGTTAGTGCTATACGAACAGTGAGGCAACACATCGGATCGTTTAGACTATATTTATGCGGAACTAAGCTAAACTTATTTTCCAGGAAATATTTGAACGCTGTGGTAACTCCCGTCAAATGTAGAGAAGGAAAAGTCTTGATCAATGGCACAAACGTTCAGTAACATTGGCTTCGCGGACACATCGAACGCCCTGGAAATGGCAGCACCTGACGAAGAGTACGCCGTGGTAAGGGAAGAGTTCGCCATTTTTTCACTTTTACATACCACCTTGTCGCGATCACAATTCACTGTATATTTATTTTATATCGTGGTATTCAAGTCGGTGTATGTCATAATCCACATTATGACATGACACATACTTCTTCAAAAGCTGTTCATTGTCTGGGTGACGTGTATACAACTTGAATTCAAGTACATTGTTCAGGCACACTGTCGCGTTCAGCTTTTAGCAAGACCGGACTGTTGGCACGTTTGGTGACGAGCATACCAGTACCATACACTTTACAGTCTCAGTACATTTTATTCCTTTGTCTTATATTTGTTGAATATTGAAGTCCGTGGACTTGAATGACACTTCCAGATTATGCAGTATTATCTGCGACAAGCGCTTTTTTTTCCAAATTTCCGCAATGTGTGCGCTCGGGATACGCCCTACCCAGGCGGGTGCTATTTCACAATTGGTATAGAAACACAGGTCATCCAGTACTTACGACTATTGAACAAAAAAACTGGAAACTCATTGTTATGCAAAGTGTGTACACTCAATCTCGACAACGTGGTATATATTCACTCAACTAAACAAGGTATTACCTACGATACTGGGTTCGAATACAAGTTCATAACTTCGATGCGCAGACAATTTAAAAGGAAATACACACGTGTGTCTTTAAATAGGTAATCCCAAGAAGCAATTCAGCGCCCTCTGTCATTACTGTCTTTCTATTACTAGCCTCAAAAAACGCCAACTGAGTGCTCATTATTTTATTTAGAAACTCAATCCACAGATCATATTTTTTAAATATTTTTGCGATTTGGGTTCATTTTAAGCAATCATTTAAGAAATTAACTAAATTGTCAGACTTCCCAACACGGGTTCACTAGACTTTTCTAACTTATGTAACCATCTGTTTACTGTGAGTAAGCAGCGTACCGGCGTAAGATGCTTTCACAGCTGCCTGTATCCAACATTGTGCAAATTGAAAAAAGCGAAACATATTGAGGAAGTATTTGCTAAAAAATTAACAATAACATATATAGGGAAAATGGTCCCAATACAATAAAGCGTAACCTTATATAGGTACGAGTGTAACTTGCTTTATATTATTTGGAAATTGAGTGTTGAATGCGCGGATTGGATTTTATGAACAATATCGTTCTTCGTATTTTTGTAATATTATATTGGCTACGGTACTGTTATGACACAGTGACACTGAGTTGCACGTGTGTGATGTGGGTGTGTGCGTGTATGTGTGTGTGTGTGTGTGTGTGTGTGTGTGTGTGTGTGTGTGTGTGTGTGTGTGTGTGTGTGTGTGTGTGTGTGTGTGTGTGTGTGTGTGCACGTATACGATCAAACAGCGAACTACTAACATGCTATTTTAATTTGAAATAAATTTATTTCTGATTTGTTGATGAAAGGTGAACGAATTTAGGTATGCTTGCTTGCTTTTACTAGAATGGTGCTAAAGTATAATTTACTTCTTTATTTACCAATAGGTAAACTATTAAATACAATTGGCTTGAAACATGGTACATATAACTTGAATGTATAGTATGTATCAAACTGATTAAAATAAGATCCTGGTTGGCCTAATTTTGTTAATTTAATTTTAATATATTTTATTTTAATTATTAATTTGAGTTACAGTTATTTATTTTTTATTTTTACAATAAATTAGCTGTACCGGTGGCTTTCACGAACAAAAATAATTGTAACGTCAACAAATAATTAAAATGAATAATAATTATAGCAATATATATAAAAAAATACAAAACAAAAATTAAGCCAATCAGGATCTTATTTTAATCAGATTGAGTAAGTATAGTCCCGGGAATATAGACTAGATCGGTTTTAGAGGGCAATTACAATTAAAGTCGGGACAATATCTCGTGAATTGGTTTTGTGTAATAAGAGTAAAGACAGTTATCATGTTCCTAATTAATATGCTTATATCCGATTCCAGTCAATTTTGTTCCATCGAAACACCATGGACCAATATGTACCATCCATACTCGTTTGAAATGTGTTTTCAAACATGAATCAGTGGTCACGTTTGACCTACATTTTAGTAAAACCAAGGACGAATGTTATGGACTATTATGGACGTACTAACACGTGGGACTACCGGTACTACAGCTATTTTGTTTCCAACCAATCAGACAACACGTTTCAGTAATTTAGGTGTATCACAGTTGGAAACCGTAAGAAGTAAAGGATATGATCAAATGGGATATATGTATACACAACCCATGATAATAATGATCTGAGAATGACCTTCTTTCGCCGGTGTATCGGCGTCACTGGATCGAACTACTGCATATCAGCCAATCGGAAAACTGAGTGTTAGCCGGGAGTTAGTATATTGGACAAGCGCCCCCAACGTCTTGTTGTTTTAACCTATCCTCGGGGGCGGAACTACGTCACAGACGTTCCACGTTGCTAAGACGCGCACCACTGTACATACATTTCTATGGGCTCTGTGCGCGCTGCTGTGGAACGCCGGTCGAGCCGGTGAAAATTCGAGAAAAAAACACAAACTCAACTTTGAAGTAATCCCGAAAAGCCAAATTTATATATGTTACACACGTAGGGCTAATCTTGTTACACTGTTCAGAGGAGTCTCAACAATCATCCCAAAGTACCGTTTTCTGCGAGTTTGGGGCCTTTGTTTTCACCGCCACAGGTTGCCATACGGAGAAAATGCCCGGATGTCCGCCCCCGAGGATACAGGACAAAATATCGAGAATACTGCATCATTGGTGATGTTCGACATTCTTTTTAAAATACCCGAGAAATTATTAATTATTAGTAAACATATTGTACCACCTGATAACGTAATATATAAAACAATATATTATTTTTCAGGTCAACACGTTAACAAACCAACCAGCCAGAACAGGCCATATACCAACCACTTTTGACTCGTCGCTGTATGACCCACAATCCAAAGCGATATTAAACGGGACACATATTCACATGAGCCATAGCATGTTGAATCATCTCCTGTCTGAGAGAGTGAATTTAATGTACCAGACAACATCCAGAACGTTTACTTCTATACACGATAACTTGACCTACGACAGTCTACTCGCAGGTGAGATGGAAAACAATTTTAATTTGTTTCACAAGAACCAGGCAGAAATCGTTTATTATGTAACATTCACGTATCAAAATTATATAAAAAGAGTGCTATTTATAGACAAATTAAAAATTATGAAAAGGAGTTTCGATCAAAATTTAAAGCGGAAGGGTCGTCACTTGCGCACGCGCGGGAATTGAGTCCCAATCGACGATAAAAACACACGCCAAAAACGCAAAGGTTCATGGGTAGGCGCTTGTTTGTAAACAATGACACGCTATGACCATCTGACGCGTGCGCAGGTAAAACTAAATTTGGATTGAATTTTTCAAGTTATTTTATATATATATATTATTTAATGCACATGCAAATACAATTTGCAATATTGTATTTCACTATGAATGAAAATTTGCCTATCAGAACACAGTTGTTAACATTTTATAGAAAGGCCGCGTTTGTTAAATTGATCAATGATTTATTCTCGGTGAGATAGGCACAATACCGGCAGAGGTTTATTCATTATTCATTCCAGCGAAAATAACCTCTGAGGAACTATGGAGTGATGTAAAATCTGTGCGTCTTGTCTTCTTCCCAGGTCTCCTTGTCGATGACGAAAAACTGCTGGTAAATAACCAGTATATATACTACAGTTACGTGTCGTTTATGGACGAGTTCGGTAAAGTTGCAACAAAAGAACCAATGAGACAGGGAAGGGCATTTCTAACAACAAAAAGATTGTTACTGCTTTCGGCAGAAAACTCGGCAGGTAAAGTATAAACTATTCGCCCGTCACGGTACCTGTACACAATGCACTGTTTTGCGGTGTTTTCTAGGGTAATGCTGGCTTTTGCCACCGATGATGTCTTAGTACGATATATTTTTATTGTAAGCACATTATTGGTAAACCCCGTCTCCTTGGGTAACTTATAAAAATGAGAGAGGATATATCAACTGTTTGTACCAACCCATTGTCCGATACCGTGACAGTAGATGTAATGTGGTAATCAATGCAAAACATTCAACTTATTTTCAGAATTTTGTTATGAATATTTTACAAACGAAATGTTATGCATTCAAGGGGACGATACAGGACTGTTGGTATATGTATGTGTGCGTGCATTGTATCAATTGGAGGGATATGTCTCTATAACGACAGTTTTACTATGGCAAACCGTGCACACTTCTCTGTGGCTGGTCATGCTCATTATGGTTTTGTATTCTATATTGTGTAGATTTATTGCGTTTATTGATAGAGTTTACCATTTTCAAATATATGTCACAAGAATCTGTTTAACTTCACTATATCGTTACGCCCTCTGACGGCGTCTACAAAACCTTTACACGTAGCTAATATACGTGACATGATGATGTTACTATTTATTTAACTACAGGTGCTAAGTTGTCAAAGTTTGGTGATCCTAAGAAGCTTCCAGGCGGTTATCACATCGAGACGTCTTGTAATGATAACTTACATTATGTGTCATTCCCGTTGAGTTGTTTCAGAAGCATTGAACTATTCGCTTCGACTGGTGTTAAAACAGAATCCAACATCTATGGGCAAAGACCCTGCTGCTGGGGGTTATGTGGCTGTTTTGGGGTGAGCGTATAGTTTGAATTAGTCCTTATATTTCGCAGACGATGTATGCGAAATTTTCGTCGCCGGTACTTCCAAGCCCTAGGGTACCAACTTTGACTTTTGGTGGGAGTGCTACGCAACGAGTTGAATACTGAACTCAAAATAATCGACGTTGAAGGTTTTTGGATCAAAAATATACGTTTTTCGCAAAAAATAGTCTAATGTTTTCCAAAATAGCAGACATTCGTAAAAAATTATGTCACAAAAATCGGCTCGACTGTGACAATGGGAATCACTCGTAGTCAATTCGTATTCAATAGATCTAAGTATCCACTTGAAAAACAATAACTTTTGTATTTACAAATGAGAATTGAGGCAGGTAGATATATAATTGGAATGATCTGAATATTGAACATCATATTTATTGTCATATGAAAATGTGATGATCTTTTCGGCCCATCACATGCGATTGCTTCTTTTATCAAATTACAAAAGGACTTAAATGTCAATGTTGGGTTTAGAATATGCAATACATATTTATGAACTACATGGCTTATATTATTTATTTATTCTTGTAGAAAGAAATATGTTTGAAGCATTGGTGGGCGGACGCGACGCAGAGGCAGACGTACAATGACCGCTATATTTCCATGGGGGTCATTTGCCCGCCGTGGGGTCACCGTACGATGCTACAGATGTACCTGAATTCCGGAGTGTCCCTCACCACGGCCAAGGACTTTGTATGTGATTTGCAGGCGTACTCACCTGGGCTGAATGACGTAAAGTAAAACTGTACCAG